GTGCATCTATAATTTGTAATTCGAGTGTTTAAGACATAATGTAGTAAATAATAGTATGTAAATAATGTCACATTCGCTATTGTATAATTATTATTTTCTAAATCATACATTATATTTTGATTTAATTAAATTGATATGTTTTTTATATATCGTAGGTTTTGATTTCTTAAATTGTCAATGTCTTTATATATCTTCTGAACTAACATTTTTTTTATATTTAGTTTTATGATGTAGGTAAGCTATAATGCAAAGAAGTAGGTTGAAAGGAAAACATATCAGAGATATTAGTTCAGAACCATCTACGGCACTTGTAGATATTGGCTATAGACTGAATCCTTTGGAGGTAAATGAATGTACTATCGGATCTAACTCCATCACTTCTAACCTTTTAACTGATATTGGATCTGACAATATGGGAGGTCCAGGTTTAGATAGTATCTCATCAATTGATTATGCTTTAAATTTGAATGCAAGTATGATATACTCTAATTTTAAAATTTGAGTATAATGATAAAATTATTACGATTTTACAAATATATTTTATATTTGTTGCAGTTGATAACAACGGTCAACGGAGGACCAGAGGTCGAACAACTTTGAAGGAATTATTTGCACTACCTCTAATGAGTGTATTGTGGTGTCTGCAAACTCTGATAAGCAACCAATCGGTGAAGAGACTCAATTATTGGCTGGATTTCTAGGCATGCTAGCCCGTAATGGAATGAAATTGCCTATTCATTATGAAACATGGCATAATGTTCAAAAAAAGTTAAAGTTGATGCGTTAAACTTTATTAGGTATTAGTATAATTAATTAGATATATTCAAATTTTTTATTTTACATTTTGTTTACTTATTCAAACTTTTCTTATTGTATTATTATAGTCAAGATTGTACTTGAGATACCAACTTCATTTGTGCTTAAGTCATTAGGAAAGAAATAGAAAGATTATAAGCATAGTTTGAAGAATAAGTATTTCGATCGAAATACTACTGTAGAGGCGATGATGCAAAATCTACCCCGTAATGTGATTAGGTGGCAATATGAACAACTAATTAGATTTTGGTTCTCAAGAAAAGGAGAGGTACTAGTTTATAACTTTGTATAATAGAATAAAATGATGAAAGTGTTTGATGGTTTCAGTTGATAATATTTGTATTTCTATCATATACGCAATTATTTTTTATGACAGGAAAGAGAATAGATTGGGATTGATAGCATAAAGCAATAGAAATATAGCTACACAAGTGGATCAAAAAGTTTTGCAAGAAAGCAAAAAGAAATCGTAAGTTTATGATAATTAACTTATTTCAATGAATGAACTTTTTCTGCCGTTAAAAGGTAAATATGCAAATTAACATTTATTATTCTGTTTTAATAAATTTGATTGTGTCAATACATGATATTAAACTTATCGATAGTTTTGAACTTAGTTACACAAATGATATATATGAAAAGTTACTGTTTACGTATATTTACGCCTTTAATATTTGATTGTTGTTATTGTTGTATTTTAATAGTTTCAATAGCTTTAATACTTGAATTAAGCTTGTCCGATTGATTGAACTTGGTTTTTATGGTTGATATGGGAGAAAAAGCTGTCAGTTATGTCTGTTTGAGAATATTTTGGCATATAAAAGGCAAATATACAAATAAATTTTGGATGTTTTCAACATATTGAATAACTTCAATCCTTCATATTAAACTAGGAGAAAATAATTGAATTTGGTTTCCATGATCGATATGTGTGAAAGCCCAAAATGCTTTTATTCTTTGCGTATGTTTAAGACTATTGTGTTGTTGCAGGGCCAAAATATAAATAAATGAGATTAAAATAATTCAAAATTTTAATACTTGATTGCCATGATTGATATGCATAAATAAGTTGTGGTTGATATGTATCCTATCAAATAACATATGTTTTATATAGGAGAATAAGATGGGCGGTACAATTAGACGTGTGAAACTTTTTTGCATAACATACACAAAAAAAGACAGATCTTACATGAATGTCAAAACACAAGAAATTATGGTAATTTGTATCATCTATTTTAACATAAAGTAAATATTTACTCTTTTTAACATATAATTAATTAATCATTAAACTTGATAGTTGTATATGACAAATTTACAGGAAAAAGCGAAAGAGAAAATGGCTGCTGAGATTGAAGTAGCATTTGAAGGTTCTCTTAACATGTAAGAAATGGAAATCGGACATTCATAGAAGTTGCTAGAAAAGAAAGGCATAGACGGGTCTAAAGCCTTGGATTGGGTCTAACACCATCTGCCTACTAGGGACATAACTCTCCACAATTTACACTCTCAGCAAGTCAGTATTCGCGAGACATTTCAATATTGAGAGGGGAGTTGCAAACTATGCAATAACGTTTTCAGCAAATAGAAGCAGAAAGAGAATATAGGCATGCCAAAATTGAAGAAGAACATGCTAGAATGGAGCTAGAGCGTGCAAAATTTCAACAGTTGCATGATCGATTCGATTATCTTATGAATTTTGTGCAATAACAATTTTCAGAAAATGATTTTGGTGCTCCACCAACTCAGGTATTATATTTAGTAAATATTAAATTTTTTAAATAAAAAAAACCATACAATGAAATGTTAAAAATTGTATGGTATTATTCAATAGGTCCTTGAGCACGCTAGTGACCAATGTGAAAAATTTTTTTCATCAATTGGCAGCCAACAAAATGGTCATCCATTTCATACATTTTAATTTTTTATTTTGTTAATGTATTAAAAATATTTGAATGTTATTATACTAATTATAAAACTTTGTATTAATTAGACGTATATTTAAACGTGAATGAAATTAATATTAATTTCAATTTTCGAATTTAAGCTCTTTACTGAAAATAAAATTTATTATAAAAAATTAAAAAAAAACATTTTTACATAATGGAGGTATTTGCATTGGGCAATGCCGCTAAATGAATAATTTAGTGGCGTTTGTAGCATAAAACGCCACTATAAGTAGCGACGCTCTTTCTAGCAAACGCCGCTAGTTAGGTGACATTTTTTTATAGAAATGCCACTAAAGCAACGTCGTTTTTCTCATAACAGCGCCACTGAATTAGCAGCACTTACAAGATACAAACGCCGTTAATATTGAGGCATTTTCAGATTCAAATGCCTTTAAAGTAGCGCATTTTATGTTACAAATGCCGTCAATGCAATGACGTTTTTCTCATAAAAATGTCATTGAATTAGCGACGACTAAAAGATACAAACACCGCTAATATTGAGCCATTTTCATATTCAAAGGCCTCTAAAGTAGCGGCGTCTCAAAGATATAAATGCCGCTAAAATGACAGTGTTTCAAATATAAAACGTCGCTAATATTGAAGTGTTTTTTCGAAAACATCGCTATTTACTGTGACGCGTGTATAGATGACACTTTGTGTGTCATTTTTCACAAATGCCGCAAACCTTATAGTGATGTTAATAAACGCCACTAAACGGTAAAAAAAATGCCACTAAAAACTAAAACCCCTATAGTGATTATTGTTGTGGTTGAAAAAAGTTTAAGATAAAAAAGTATATTAAAAAGTGTGATAAAAGAAAATTAAAAAATTTAAGTGCTTGATATTACTGTAAAAATATATTATAAATAATTAAAATATCTAAAATATATATAATAATAAATATTAAAAATATAGAAATAATAATGTGGTTTTTATCTTCAATGCATTTTTTTTTTTCTGTAAAACCATGTCTTGATGAGCCTTTTAATTTGAGCACGAAAATTTAATCTTTTAAGCTAAAAAGCCAAGTTTTTTTTTTATTGTTTAGCATGACCTTTAGGTTAAAAGCAACTTTTGAATGTGAAAATTAATTTTAACAGTAATATTAAACCAAATCTTAATAATTAATTAATTAATGGAATGTGATAGAGGCTGAAGTCGTTGAAGGCCCAACAACTTGGTGTTAATGTATGAGAGAAAGAGTCCATAAACATATGGACTAAACCCCCGCTTGAAAGCTGGAAGAGTCCATTTCAAACAAGGCTTTATGATAATCAACTTTGTTAGAGAAAATCTGGCATGATGGCTGATATGACCAATTACCAACAATAGCGTACTTTGTGATAAGAGAGTATCAACACAAGAATAAAACGTAAGGCTACAATTGTAGGAATAAAGGAAAATTCAACAATCTTGACTTTGGGAAGTACGTTAGGTGAGTGGGGCTTAGTTTAGCGTTAGTGGAGATCTTCCATCCTTCATCTAGAACAATTATTATTTATATTGTCTTTGAACAAATCTTTTGTCCCTTGCTTTGAGAAATAGAAGATAACTAAAAACTGTTAAAAACGAAACCAAATTTAACTTATAAAATTCATGAATGATCATATTATATGTATGAAATAATATTGAGAGTTTAATTAATTACAAATAATAATAATAATAATAATAACTTAAATGATTATTGAACTTTAATTTAGGAATTTTTTTACTTTTTTACCAATAATAATTCATTTATAAAACTCATATATGATTATATGATATGCATGAAATAATATTTCATTTTAATAAATTTTAATTGAAATAATGAGATAATATACTCAATTTTTTTTTTTGTAATTTTTAAAAATTTGAATTTAACATTGAACTTTTTGATAAAGTGAGTTGATTCACAATCCTATTGAAAATTTTTTCTAGCTACGTCATCTAGGCTATCAGCAAACCCAAGGGGATGTTGTGGTCCAAGCCAGAGCATCCTGTCTAAGTCCACTTGTTTTCAGCATTTAATAATCAACTATAAAAATATATATTTTTGGAAAAATGATATAGACACTTAAAGATATATATACATATACATATGTAACTTTTTTTTTTTTTCACAACAATTTTTTAATTTAATAAAAAATTATTTTATTTCTTTATTTTTAAAATATCATCACAAAGTAATATGTACATACATTTATAGTTGTGTATATAGATAGGATTGTCCTTTTCTCCTTAAAGATAAATTGTATTTAATGAAGACCAGAAACAAAATTCAATTCAACTTCTCTCTCTGGGCATCTAGAACAGGTTTTTGTATTTCCCATCCAATTCCGTTTCTTGATATCATCATTTTCATCCCTTTAGAGTAGCCAAAGAAGTGCAACAAAGAACACAAAATTTCTGCCATGGCCTCTTCCATGACAGTGAAAATCCTTGAGATCACCCGAATCAAGCCATCCCCTGAATCACACAACTCTGCCAACGAATTTGAATCCTCCCTTCCACTCACTTTCTTTGACACTTACTGGTTCAAATTCCCACCAGTTGAACGACTCTTTTTTTACCAACTCAACAGCTCATCCCCTGCATATTTCAACTCAGTAATCCTCCCCAAACTCAAGCAATCTCTTTCTCTAACGCTGGTCCATTACCTCCCCCTTTCCGGCAACCTCAAGTGGCCATCAAATGCCCCCAAACCCATCATTTCATACACTCCAAACGATGGAGTTTCACTCACAGTTGCCGAGTCTGATGCAGACTTTGCCCGTCTCTCCAGCAATGGAATATATGAAGCTGTTGAGCTACATCCTTTGATACCTCAGCTGATAACATCAAATGATTCAGCATCAATTATAGCTGTGCAAATAACCCTGTTTCCTGATAAAGGGTTTTCCATTGGAATCATAGCTCACCATACAGTTCTTGATGGTAAAACTACAACCATGTTCATGAAATCTTGGGCTTACCTATGTAAGCAAGGGAATAGAGAAAACTCCCCTTTGCCACCAGAATTAACCCCATTTTTTGACAGGGGCGTTATTAAAGATCCTACAGGGCTTGACCTTGATATGCTATACTTGAACCAATGGCTAACCAGTAATGGCTCAGAATCAGATACTACTGGTCATAAAAGCTTGAAGGTTTCATCAGACAAAGTAGAAGCTTCTAATCTAGTTCGAGCCACAATTACCATCACTCCTGATGATTTCAAGAAAATGAGAGAAAGGCTACTATCCAAATCATCTGATAGCTCAAAGCAACTTCATTTATCAACTTTTGTGCTTACACTTGCTTATGTAACTACTTGCATAGTTAAGGCAAGAGGTGGAGAAGGAGATAGAACTGTTTACATTATATTCACAGCTGATTGCAGGCCCCGTTTGGACCCACCTGTCCCAGAAAACTATTTTGGAAACTGTAATACTCCTATATTCGAGTTATTAAAAGCAAGACATTTCATGGATTTTGAAAACGGGTTTGCATTTACTGCAGAAAAGGTAAGCAATATGGTCAAGGGATTAACAGACAACGGGGTTTTTGCAGGAGCAAAAGATAAGCTGACACCCGTATTCGATGTAGCTAAGGAGCCGGAAGGATCTGCACAATTTATTTCTGTTGCTGGATCGCCTCGATTTGGTGTTTATGAAACGGATTTTGGGTGGGGAAGGCCATGGAAAGTGGAGGTAGTATCCATTGAAAAGAATGAAGCTATTTCTATGGCTGAAAGTAGAGACGGGAGGAGGGGAATTGAAGTTGGCTTGGCTTTCAGGAAGCATGAAATGGAGCGGTTTCTCTCTCTGTTTCTCAAAGATTTTTAACAAGATATTCCAGCGGAGGAAATAAAAATTGTGGAAGATGATCAAATCCATTACAATTTTGAGTGGCTATAATCAAATTGTCTTTCAATTTTATGCCATATGCACGTTGATTTTTTTTTTTCTTTTTTTCTTTTTATTATGTTGGTAAGATGATATACATACACTGCAACTATAAAAGAGAATAAATTCGAACGATGATTTGAATACATCTTTTTTTCTTTTTTCTTTTTTTTTTATAATTTGTGAACAGATATTATCATAAGACAATAAAGTGCAAGAAAATTAAATAGCAAAATACTTTATTCATAATTCCCAAAACTGTTATGAAGTATGTACTCGTTAACTTGAATAAACAAGGATTAATGTGAAATCGTCCATATACTATGGCTTAATATTGAATCTTGTCACTATGCTTCAATATTATTGAATTTTGTAACCATACTTTAATTATGTTGATTTTTTTAAAAAAAAAATTGTAAATCAACAAAATTTCTTAAGGAGTGCAAAAATGCTTGTTAGTGGCATTTTCATTATAAACGTCACTATATTTATAAAAGTCAAAGTATATAGTGGTGTTTAAGTTAACAAATATCACAAAAATATATTTTTAGTGACGTTTTAAAATTCAAATGCCGCTATATAAAAATTTAATAACGTTTTATAAAAAAACACCGTTAACATTATAAAAATACGAAACTTTGTAACGTTTTATTTAAAAATACCGCTAAAAAACAGCCACTAAATTTCTATTTTTCTATAGTGAGAGACAGATGCATTTATTATGATAGAGTGTTTATAGACATCATCAAAGATTGAAGATAAACAAATTTGAAAGAAAAATTCCTTTGTACACTTTTAATAGACAAAATTAATAAATTCAAGGGCAGTTCATAAACTAAGAAACGATAAAACTGCCACGCTTTATACAACACGCCGACAAATTTGAAAGAGCAAAGAGAAAAGAGAAGAAGAATTATTCTCGAGTTTGGAAGGGAAGACATTGAAAGACCAACCTCAATTTAGCTAAAAGAGAAAAGACCAGAGAGGGAGAGGGCTATGATATAACAATGTGAAATATTTCTTCCCTTTGTTACATTTAGATAAGGCTTTTTTTTTTAAGAAATGTAAAATATGATTTGATTAAATCAAACCATATTTTGGAGACAATTATTGAGAAAAAAATAATTCACAGAAATTGAGGTAAGGAAATTAGCAACAAAAGTTTAAATTAGGCGTAATCAACATAATTAATTAGTGATAATTGAGTTAAGATTGGTTTAATTAGGGTTAAAATCCAAAACCCCATTTGAAAATATATCTAAAAGACACTTAGCCCCTATTGTTTTAAAATGCATTTTTCCCCATTGACCATACAAAGTAGTTTGTCAAAAGTTAATTATAAAAATAAAAAAAAATTAAAAACATCATCTTATCTATTTTTAAAAATTTATCAACTTATATATAAATAAATAATCCATTGTCATGAAATAAGTAAAGATCAATAAAAAGAATTTAAAAAAGTTACAATTTTGTTATTAACAATTGAAAAAAAAAAATTCACAATTACAACTCTGGTTACAAAGCCCAACGTCATTACCATCAATTTTATTTCAATGTAAGAAGCTCAAATTAAAAAACTACACTCGCTAGAATCTATTTGATGGCTCTAAGCTCTACTCTTTACTTGAAATTGAATTAATTATATTATAGGTTAAAAGATAAAAATATTCTTGAATTACGATTAAAAAATTATTTAAAATTTTAATATGTTATTATAATTAATCAAATTTTAATATTTATTTAAATTAATTAAATCCTTAATTGAATGGATGGTCAAAGGGGAAGCAACACATTTTGAAACAATGGGGCTACATGTCTTTAGGTATCTTTTTAGGGATTTTGAATTTTACCTGGTTAATCAGGTTATTTTACCAGAGTAGTTTCTTCTTTTTTTTTTTTTTCGAATAACCAAATTTAAAGATTTCCACTGGAATTATTGCACATTGTGGTTTTATGCACTGCATTGAGTTTCTACCATTTGACAAGGCATGAGAGCTGGGAAAATTGTCCAATCAGATTATATGTCGAATTTGATAATCTTGACAGCATTGATCAATGCTGAAGTGAGTGTTATCTCTAGACAGCATTGATCAATTGCTTGTCTGTGAGGGAGGTTTCACTACTAGCCTAAATTTTGTTTTGCTCATTAAAAAAATTCATTTCATGCTGTGTTTTAATTGTTAACAAATTTCATAGTGAGAAAGCTTATCCAGTAAAAAGAATTAAAAAATCAAAAGAAGGAGACGGTAAATGCATAGGGAGGTGACAAAAAAAAAGTTTTAATTTTAATTAATTAACCTTAAATAAATTTATTAATATTTATTTTTAAGGGTTTAAAATTTAAAATTTTATTCATTAATAAGGTGTCCTTATATTATTCACTGACAATATATAAAAATGATACACTATCAATGTATGAAATACTAATCCTAAGAGAAAATTCAACAATCTTGACTTTGGGAAGTAAGGTAGGTGAGGGGGCTTAGTTTAGCGTTAGTGGAAATCCTCCACCCTTCATCTAGAACAATTAAAAGAAGATTAAAATATTATAAAAATTTTGAATTATTTAGTTTTTATATTTTTATTATACTCAAATAAAATTTTTTTTTATTTATATGCAAATAAATTTTTATTATTTTTTAGATTTTTCTTATTTAATGTAAAAATATGAGTTTGGAATACAAAAATTACAGCAATGTAATTTCAATTATGTTAATTTTATTGCTTTTTTCCTTTTCAATACATGTATTTTTACCTTTCATGCATTTAAATATAACCTTTTTGACCAAAAACGTTTAGATATAATTTTAACTTAAAGAATTATTCTTTTTATTTTTCGTGACAGCTATTTCAGCTCTTCTTGGAAATTTTAAAGGTAAGAATACTTTGACCATTTTGAATATTGGAATCCTGATAGAATTAAAAAAAAAAATCAACCAACAATATCACATATATTAATCTTTAGCATTTTACTTATTCAATAAATATTATTATTTATATTTGTCTTTGAACAAATCTTTTGCCTTTTGCTTTGAGAAATAGAAGGTAACTAAAAACTGTTAAAAACGAAACCAAATTTAACTTATAAAATTTATGAATGATCATATTATATGTATGAAATAATATTGGTATAAGGGTAAAAAAATATCTTTGAACAAAAGTTTAATAGTTATTTAAATTTTTAATATTTTATTAAAATCAATCAAGTCTTAAATCTTTTATTTCAAATCAAACGAACTCTTAAATATATACTTTCACCTAATTAAATACTTATATATCTATTTTCATTCAATTAAGCCCTTGATTAGATCGAAAAAATTAACTATTTTTCCTCTAATAAAGATTTATTTGATAAAAATAAATATTTAATGATTTAATTGATTACAAATAATAATAATAATAATAATAATAATAATAATAATAATAATAATAACTTAAATGATTATTGAACTTTAATTTAGGATTTTTTTGACTTCTTTGCCAATAATATTTCATTTATAAAATTCATGAATGATTATATTATACACATGAAATAATATTTTATTGTAATAATTTTTAATTGAAATAATGAGATAATATACACAATTTTCTATTTTGTAATTTTTAAAATTTTGAATTTGACATTAAATTTTTTTGACATAAAGTGAGTTGATACATATAGACACCCCAATATGTCTGGGATTCTACTTATTTCTGATAATTAAAAAAATAAATAATAAAAATTGATAGAAAATGAATAGGAAATTCAGTGGTTGAGTTTAAACGAAATTGTTTGTCTGGGTTTAGGTTGGACTTAAAATCTGAAGTTAAAATTTCAAGGAAATCAAAATCCTTTCTAAATTAAGATTTTTTGGATTAGAACCCTATAAATATATACTCATACTAAGCAGTAAACATACACAGAGATAAAAAGAAAAAAAAAAACACATGCAAATGCAGCCAGAGAGTAGAAAGTTTTTGGGAGATTTTTGTGTTTAAAAATATTTTTTTCTAGAATTTTCTAAAAATTTTCAGATTTCGGTTGAATTGTTCTACAATTTTTGAAGATTTCGGTGACTTTTTGACGACATTCTTAGTTTCCAGCGAGATTCTCAATTTTCGACATCAATTTTTTAAAAATCGATAAATATTCGACGAACTTCTGACTACTTAACCCATATTTTGATGAGATTTTCAGAATCTGATGAATATTCAATCAGAGTTCATCTGAGAGAGAAAGGGAGAGAAAAGAGAAAAGAAGAGAGAGAAAAAATTTGAGAAAAAAAGAAAGAATTTGGTCATTTATATTGCTATTAAACGATGTCGTTTTGGGCGTTTAAGAAACCCAAGATCCGTGTGTTTTCTAACAGGTGACCCGACCCGTAGCACTTAACCCACTTTCAACCTATATCCTTGTCCTTAGATCCAACCAAGCCAAGCCGTGAGCTATGTGGTTCTAGCCGCTTCCCCTACCGGCAGCTGAGCCGAGTTCTCCAGCCTAGTCAAGCCATTTTCCTATTTTGGTATTTTTGTTTTTTTTTATAATTTTTTTATTTATTTATTAAGTATTTTACCATGATTAAATTTTAGAAAAAATAAAAAATATAAAACAAAATAAAATATTTTTTAGAATAAATAATAATTATCCAATGATGAAATTTTTAAAAATTTCAAATGATGAAATTTTTAAAATTTTCAAATGGTAAATTTTTATAAAATTCTTAGGTAAGAATTTTTTTAAAAAAATTTATCCCAAACAGTTGAATAATTTAGAGAAAGTTTCAATAATAATAATTAATTTTTATTTTTATTTAAAAAAAAATTTTAATAAAAAATTTGGAATTAAATACTAATTACCCAATGATGAGATTCTTCGAAATTTCAAATGGTAAATTTCCTAAGAAATCTTAAGGTGAGGAATTTCTCTAAATTTATCATAAATTGTGGAATAATTTAAATGAAATTTCAATAAAAGTAATTGTATTCATTTTGAAATATAAAATTTTTTTGATTGAAAATATTTGATAATTATCTAAGGATGAGAATCTTAGAATTTTCAAATGGGAAATTTTTTAAGAAATCTCTAGGTGAAGAATTTTTCTAAATTTGTCTTAAATGGTGGAAGAATTTAAATGAAACTTTTAAAAAATAATTGTTATATTATTTTCTGTCTAAAGGAAAAAAATAATAAGAGTTTTTTTTTTTCTAAATAGTCCCAAATTGTGAAAATTTTAAAAATAAAAATAAAT